GGGCCGGAAAGACGAAGCAAGTACTTGTTCGCGAAACCAATCGCGAGAGCGACATCCTGAAGCTTGTCTTGATGGACGTCGAAAAGCGCACCGGCAAGACGGTAAGAACCGAGAACGTCTCTGAGCTGGACGGAGGCTGGATGGAGGTCTCACAGAAGACGACGTTCGTACCGGCTGATCCTGACAACGGCCGCAAGGATGATGGATACATTGATACAATCATTCATGAAGGCTACGACCATATCGGCTACTTTTCACCATTGGACAGTGACAAGCCTGTGTTGCTCACTCAGGGCGAGTGGGAAGTCGTTGATGCGCCTTCTCGCGTGGATCTGAAGAACAACCTGGTGTACTACGTTTCAACTGAGAAGAGCTCTATGGAACGACACGTCTACTCTGTACTCTTGAATGGTACTGGAAAGAGTGAAATGCTGGAGAATGGAGGCTCAGGTTACTACGACGCTTCCTTCTCAGCTGGTGGCTCTTACGCCTTGATCACCTACAACGGACCCGGAATTCCATGGCAGAAAATCATCAGCACGCCATCGAACAACGACAAGTACGAGAAGGTCATTGAGGAGAACAAAGCGCTTGACCGCTTCGTCCGTCGGCTTGAGATGCCCATTCTCAACTATCAGACAATCAACGTCGATGGCTTCGAGCTGAACGTCCTCGAGCGTCGTCCGCCGCACTTTAACCCGAAGAAGAAGTACCCTGTTCTTTTCTACCAATACAGCGGACCAGGCTCGCAGGAAGTCAACAAGAAGTTCAAGGTTGATTTCCAGTCGTACATTGCCGCCAGTCTCGGGTACATCGTGGTGACAGTGGACGGGCGAGGTACGGGTTTCCTCGGTCGGAAGCTTCGATGCATCACGAGAGGCAACATTGGATACTACGAGGCGCACGATCAGATCGCCGCGGCCAAAATCTGGGCCAGCAAGAAGTACGTGGACGCTGATCGACTCGCGATCTGGGGCTGGAGTTACGGCGGTTTCAACACACTGAAGACGCTCGAGCAGGATGGAGGAGAGACGTTCAAGTATGGGATGGCTGTCGCTCCTGTGACGGACTGGCGGTACTACGGTAAGAAGACTCCCGCTATTCATCTACGTCGCTAATCTTTTACCGCAGATTCTATCTATACGGAGCGCTACATGCACACGCCGCAGAACAATGCCGAAGGCTACGACAACTCCACCATCACCGATGTCACTTCGCTAGCGAAGAATGTCCGCTTTTTGGTCATGCACGGTGTCGCCGATGACAACGTGCACATGCAAAACACGCTTACCCTACTTGACCGACTGGATCTTGCAGGTATCGAAAACTACGATGTTCATGTGTTCCCCGATTCGGATCATAGTATTTACTTCCACAACGCGAACAGGATTGTTTACGACAGTAAGTGACTTCGTGTGCCATTGATACGACGAAGTAGCTAACGGGATTCCAGAGCTTAAGTGGTGGCTCGTCAATGCTTTCAACGGCGAATGGTCGAGGATCACGAATGCGGTGCCCAAATCGCAACTTGATTCGAAGTCGATAGGACGTGAGTCAAAGGCTCGGCATATATAGAGTTTGACGCGTATAGATTGCGTAGGCGTTACAGGCGCGGAATTCCAATATCGTTACCTTGCAAAACTGTTCTCATCAGCCAACCCGAATGTCCAGATACCTATGAGTTTCGCAGCTAATATGCATGTTGCAGTGCTTGTGCTTGTGCTTGTGCTTGCTGATTCGCCGCTTTTGAGTACCAGAGTAAACCTGGGAACATGCTCAAGCAAGCCCCACACTTTGACACGACTTTGAACCTACTTGACAATCGTGATATCGCGGTATGGTCGTAAGAAGTCTCACTCAATGCATTTGCAGGCCCAAAAGTGGCTGTCATTGAGGAAGCTCTCATCAGCCGCTCTTTCCCCTCTCGAACCCCACTTTTGAAGCTACTACATCACACATCGCAAGCATGACGGCATCTCAGCCCATCCACTTGCCTTTTCCGCCTCGAATAAGTTGTGGCTCGATATATAAATCTCAAATATCGACAGAATGAGTTTCAAGCCTAGCAACCTAGCCGTCTGCGAAACGTGCGGCACGCAATTCGACGTTCCGCTTGAGCAGCACCCGGAGACATGTCGGATCTGCGATGTACGTCCATCACCAGAACCAAGAACCCGGAATCACCACAGCCAGGAAACGAAGCACAAAAGCAATAAAACTAATCAATGTCTAGGACCCCCGCCAGTATGTTCCCGCATCAGGACAATCCTGGACTTCACTCTCCGCCTGCCAATCCCTCCAAAAGAACACTTTTGAAACGGATAAAGAAGACTCTCGCATTCACTACATAACCACTGCACCTCTCTCTCCGTCGGAACTTCCCCCGGGTCTGGCCGATTCTAGCACGACCCGCAAGCAACTTGGCATTGGGCAGCGCGCCATCTTACTACAAACATCACGTGGAAACATCCTTTGGGACTGCATCGCTTTCTTAAACCCTGCTACCATTGATTTCATCAAGGGAAAAGGTGGATTAAAGGCGATTGTGATCAGCCATCCGCATTTCTACACGACGCATTTGGAATGGGCGAGTGTCTTCGGGTGCCCGGTGTATATGTGCATAGCCGATGAGGTGTGGTTGAACCGAGAGGATCAGAATGATGTGAGGAGGTTTGTCGGGGGCGTCGTTCCGATTGAAGAGATTGGGGGCGAGGCCAAGGTGATTCAATGCGGTGGGCACTTCGAGGGCAGTTCGGTGCTGTGGTGGGATCGGAAGCTTTTCATCGCTGATACGTTTATGAGTGTACCTGTTAGTCTTACTATCCCCTCTTTCCTATCAAGTTGTTCCAAGCTTCGTCGCTGACAAACTTCGTAGTCTGGATTCAACAACGCGCGCCGCGTCCCGGATACGACGTCCTACTCGTTCATGTGGGCGTATCCCAACATGATCCCACTGACGCCAAAGGCTATCCATGGGATTTGGAAGGCGATCAAGCCGTTCGAGTTTGATAGGACGTATGGAGGATTCCCGGGGCAGAATCTGAAGAGGTCGGACTTGAAGAAGCAAGTGCTCGAGAGCATGAAGATTTTCCTACGAAGAAGTGGACATGAGAACGCAGATGTGTATGAAGAGGGTGTTTAACAGGAAGGAATCGTGGAATAGCCTGGACTCAAAAGATCAACTAACATCATCTCGTTGATTGGTGGTATCTACTAAGTGAAAGACTTTGAAACAAGCACGCTAAATTCATCCAAAACTACTCTCCGATGCGACACGAGATCCTAGTTCGGTGATAGCCACAATGGCCATGTATATGCGGAGTATTGAAGGTTCGTCGCGATTGCCTTCGGACATGGCAGCGAGGCAAGGGCTGACGATAGCTTGATGCTTCACTGATGTGTGAACATCATGTTTTACTCTCACACGGATGTTACAGGTACATCCGTTCAATGGAGGGAGATTTAGTATCGTTGATAGAGCGCAATGGCATGGACTGGAAGGGTACAGGTACATTAGAAAGCCGCAGTACTCCATTAGGCTGTTCAAACACGTCGCAAGAAGCGCCGATAGCGATACCTCTTCGAATCGCGTAGGCTTGTTCACACTCGACCCCATGCCCTTTGTGTCGCGTTGTGCGTCTAGTGGCCGAACCTGCTGCTCCGACATGGCTGCTTTTTGGTTCCGCGGTAGACCGGTCGGGCGTGGAGGGGTGGTTCCCCGGTAGAGAGGTCGCGCGTGCAGGGGATGCATCCCAGCGGCGATTCGGAAGATTGTGCTTCTTCGAGACTGATACACGCACACGTTAGCCATTACACATGGGGTTATCAAGCAGAGCGAGCCTCTAAGTACCTTGTCTCGACGCTTGGAAGCTTTGGCACTTGTGGTTCCAGGATGCCATGTCACTGACTATGCTACTTCGAGGGAGCTAGAAAGACTTCAGCTTCTTAGTTTCCACCGATGGACGATATACCCACGGAGCTCTTTCGGTGGAGCAATTGGAACCTTGGTACGCGACATTGTGTATAGCGTAGGGATCGATTGTTGCATAATGCTAAGGGTGTGGAGGGATCTTTAAGCATCTGCTTGGCTGTTCGATAGCAAGAGGAGAAGAGAGAGAGAGACGGAAGTCTTGAGTGATGTATACGGATAAAGGAACCATGTACCCCTTGGAAAAGAAAACAGCAACACAGTGGGTACATTTAGTTGCATATTAGCGCAGCGATGTTGGTGTGTGATCTGCTTCAACAGAAAAAGCAAAGCGTCACCAGCTTACACCGCGCGCAATTTTCGAGATGCGACGACCAATCTAATTGTACCATTCGAGACGCCAAATCTATAGGACGTACGTTATTGAGTTCTATGCTCCAAAACAGTCCCATCGTCACATACACGAAGCTGGAGACGTTCGTGTTTCGTCGTCGTAAAACACACGGGCCCACACCATCTTTTGCTGATTGCTCAACAACCTTGGGAACCAAAAGGAATTTCGCAGGTAGGTATGTAGCTTTTTGTGGCGTAGAGGGTGATGCCTAAAATGCGTGAATAAATATTTCCAATCTACTGTGGCCCAGGCAAGCTCGTTTCGGAAGATGATGTTGAGAAAGGGTATATAATTGCTTTCTCCGCCACCCTGCATACTGCAACGAACGGTTCAACGGTGAACAAAGTTAGGTGCGCTACGATACCGTTCGTTCGGAATATTCGGCGATGATCTTGTGTGGCTAACATGTTCTAGGTAGTAGCACCGAAGTACCGCCGCTGATGATGCGGAGATAGCTAGGTATAGTTCCAAGGTGTGCTCAGCAACCGTATGTATGCTTCTCTCGACTTACTCTGTTCATGATGACAAGGGGATTGATCATTTGGGACATAATTCATAGCAGTGAACGGTGCTTGCATCATTGCGTTGATTTGCATGGTCTACGTCAGCTGTGTTAAGCCCTGCATGAGGTGGCACCTGCATCTAGCTCACCCACCATCTGCCCGCTCCTTCTCTTCATCAATCGCTTTCACGCTTCGCTCCTATGAAGATACCTCCCACCGCGAAGAAGGCCGCCGTAATTGCGAACATGTCGTTACGTTTCGGCACCGGGACGCACACGACCATGAGGAGCGCAAGCAGAATACCAAGCACGCCGAGCACAACAATACGGTTTTTCTCAGATTCGATGCAGCTCAGAATGCCCAAGCATATTGCTAGGAATACTGGTACATATATTCCGGTGAGTATGTTGGCGACCATTTGTATCTTGTCCAGCTCAAGGTATTGCTGAGGTGCAACGCCATCCTCAAGAGATCGTTGTCTTGGGACACGAGTGATCAAGCGCGTCACGTACGTATTGACTGATTCGAGGTGCCGAATAACGAAAGCAGTCAACATGTCCTGCTCATCTAGGTCGCCGTCCTTGAAAGAACATGTATCGGCATGCGACGGAACCTGGGTGTACATGGCCCCATTCTCCTTGGTCGGTCCAAACAGACCCTCCTCGAACAACGTCTTTCGAGCAGCGAAATGTCGAGCATAGACGTCGGACTGGTGAGGTAAGTTAGCAACATGGGTTGCGAGACAGAGATCTTCGCCTACATCGCCACCGTCAGCACGATCCTTGGCACACAGAATCGGTCAAAACCTACTGTATCGCCGGACCGAGATCTTTAAAGCGTCAATCTTGGATCTCAAGAATGAGTGGTCGTGCAAGTGGTAGGCCTGGTGATAATCCAGGAGTGTGCGGACGGTCCAGTCAGGAGTCTCAGCGCCAATGGCCTCGATAAGTTCATCACATTCTCGGCGTAGCTTATCAATTTCCCCCGTTTCGTTGTACAGCATCCAAGTCCACAGGTCCAGGTGTCTCCGGAATTTCGCAAGCTCTGGATTCTCTACAATCTCGCCGTACAGGACGGAGTAGCGGCGCGGAGCGCTTTGCATGATAACCGGAGTTCAGCAGGATTCCCGATGCAGCAATATCGATTCGGCAGGTTTGATCTTTTTCGAAGCTATCTCAGATCGAGGAAAGATAAGAAAGAGTATCCAGCAGGCTGGTCGATTCGAACCGTGAATTGATCGCATTGCGGAGACCCACGAGTCAGGAAATCGATCTCTATATACCTTGTCCGCTCTGCCTCACGATAGATACCAACTGGATGACCACGACCTTGATTCTGCCTTCCAACACATAGCATACACCGTTGCCACTGCCTTTCAGCAATGCAAACAAGGGCCAACATGGTATCGTCACTCCAATCAACAAGCGGGCATCCGTTACGGACTTCGTCTCGAGCCTACGTGCGTCGTAACGGTTGTTGTCACCAAATCAAACATGTACACAACATATTAGTCCTCTCACCGGATGCCACGCCATCAGCTTCAGGATTCCGGATCAGGGCTGAGCACGCTGGTCGGACGCCCGTTGAGTCTGCCGACTGGCGGTGAAGGCAGGGGCTTAGGAATCAAAAAGTCATCATCGCGACATTGCCGGAAAGAACGCCAACCACCGCCCGACTCCTCCACTAAATAAGCCCGGCGGTCGAGCATATGAAAAGTTAAAGAAGGCGGATCTCCGCATATTCCAGTGGTAGACAGCGGTATGAAGGCAATGACCTGATATTCCTCCGCGCGCTTCTCCAGCAGATCGAGGGCTGAGTCTTTCAATCCGTTGCGGGCCCGCGGCGCATCCTTGGCTCACATCCTTCGACCCCCACGCTTAGTTTGGCACAAGAGCATCGTACCCGAGGTGAACAAATCACCACAACCTGTGTGCATCACTCATCACTATAGGTGTAGACAAAGGCAACAGGTCAAATGCGTTGTCAACCTCAAAACCACCAAGGTCAATCATCGTTACCTTTCCCGAGCGTCAGTTCTTTCCGGCTTTGATCTTGCGGGCGCAGCGCAGTGTCCTGCACGCCACCGCCGGCGATGCCGGCCAGCATAAGTTCCCGGGAAACAGGTTCGATATATGCTTCTTCAGCACGTCAATGTTGGCGAAATATCTGGCGCTACTGACTTGGCCGCATATTCAACGTCAAAAAAAGAGGTGATCGGCTTGACATCCGGATTCGAGTAAGCCGCAGATCACGCATCGTAGCGTGTTCAATTGAATGCCAGCTCCTGGGAGTCACCAGAGAACGAATCAATCAAGCATCAACCAACAAGCGATCCGAAAAAAACCCCCATTGCATGCAAAATGCGAGCGTTCTTCTATCTTCTCGTTCACAACTATCTTCGAGCTAGACAAGAGAAAAAGATGGCGAGCATTCCAGCGTTATTCCCAGACCGTTAAATCGGGTTCCCCTCTCCTGGGGCCAACCCGGGTCAATGGCAGAGCCGCATTAGCTAACCGAGCAACATGCATGGGGTACATCAAGCTATCAGTGTGTACGAAGCGTGGCAAGGCGACGCTAGTTCGGAATCGAAAGCACCTGCATGTAGCACAGAAACCGGTGAGACCGATCGACGCGCGCGGCATGATTTGGACTGCATGAAAGACGTAGGGCAACGTGTGTATGTAGCCTGCGTTCTCACCGCTTCGACTATGATGTTGTCGTTATTGCTGTTCATTATTGGATGCTGCTCAGATGACTTCGATGCCATAGCCTTGCTCCGCGCTCCGATGCCGTCATATTCCAGATGATCATTGGATGGGATCTCAGTGGCTAGGTACAGTGTTGATGCATGAGCGTCTCTACCCTGATGCTAGGCGTACACAGTTCCAGACACACGGTAAGGCTGATCCAATGGTTCAGCCGCATGTCTTGACTAACCAGTAAGAGTAGGATGGAAGGCTGGGGTCTGCACTGTTAAGCAACTGTAGTTCAGAACCCTGTTGAGCGCATTGTTTACACTCATAAGAACGCAGGTATTTTATTACTGACCTTGTTTGCTGCCGTACATTATCGGTCGCTCTTAGAGTCAGCAATAGAAACCAAAACCTTGCATCTCATGCGCTCTAGAAGTCTAATGCTTGTGGCAAGAAGTAACAGCGCGGAATAAATTTATCGACTGAGCAATTGTATACAGCTAAGAACATATAGAAAGCAGATGCTAGCTAGTAAAAGAAACTACCGCAACCGTTGTATAGTGCTACTCTAAGCAATCCAGTACCAGATCTTCTGCATCACGTTCTTCGGCACAGGTGCACCGGTGATATCGTCCTTGCACAACTCGTTCATCTCTCGCACACCCGTTATAACATCAATGTGCTCCAACTTGATCGCAAATGGCGTCCTAAAGTAGATCTTGTGGCCAGCGTAAAGTACGATGAAGATCGGGATGGTAATATAGGCGGCAAGGAAGTCGGATACGGCCCAGTTGGCAGGCACGAAGACCTGGAAACCGTTGGTCAGAGTCAGGAGTGACACTACGCCGAGAACGAAGTATGTAAGATATGGCTGGAACGGTGTGCGGTAGGGCAGAGATTCGAGCAAGTTGTGAAAGATCATCGCCTTGCGGAAGCGGATGTACGTGATCATGACGACGATCCAGGCAATGAATCCAGAGATGGTGGAGATATTGGAGAACCACAAGAAGACCTGGGCGCCAGTGCTAGAGACATTCAGGTATGCGAGGAGTCCGATGGCCCATGTAGCGAGAACAGCTACATATGGTACACCTTTCTTGCTGGTCCTGCCGAAGATCTTGGGCGCTTCTCCGTTGAGAGCCATACCATACAAGACACGGGATCCAGAGAATAAGAAAGCGTTTCCGGCAGACCATGCTGATGTCAAGACGGCCGCGTTGACGACGTGGTTCAGACCTACGATTCCCGCACGCTGGATACCAATGACGAAGGGAGAGGCGGAAGCGTTGGAGCTCTTGCTGAGGAGGCGATCATCGTCTGATGGGACAATGACGCCGATGATGAAGCTACCCAAACCGTAGAAGATAGCAAGACGGTAGACGAATCGACCAGCAGCCTTGGGGATATTCCGGCGCGGGGCAATAGTCTCTCCGGCAGCGAGCGCAATCAATTCAGGCGAAGTGATGAAAGCAAATCCGGCACGAACGAACGCAGTCCAGTAGGCCAGGAAACGCCCGGAGTTCCCTTCCACAATGTACGGTTTGAATGCGCCTGGGTTGTTCCAGTATCTGAAGCCTAACCTTCCTTGATCGTTGGGGCTCCCACCTAACATGATGACAAAGCCGAGAATAACAAGACCGATGATGGTGATAAACTTGATGGAAGCGAACCAAAACTCGGCTTCTCCGAAAACCTCGACTGCGACGATGTTAAGGAACAAGACCACGACCAGGAAGATGGTGATCCAGACAGCATTGTGGACAGGCGTCTCCCAGTACTCGACAAGGATTGCTCCAGCTGTAGCTTCAGCGGCCACTAAAATCGCGTAGGCGTACCAGTAATTCCAACCAGCAGCGAATGCGAGACTCGGGTCTACGAATCGCTTGATGAAGTAAGGAATGGTGATGCCGCGCATGGGCAGGTAAGTGACTATTTCAGCCAAGTTGTTCATGACGTTGTAAACAACAAGCATCATACTGAGGTAGGCCATGAACAACGGAGCAGGACCGACGAGGGCTAGGATAGATCCAGATCCGATGAAGAGACCTGTTCCGATAGCACCACCAAGCGCACTGACAGAATGTTAGCGATTGGTTCAGCGACACAAGAAAACGTAGACTTACAGAAACTGGATGTGTCGACTCTTCAGCCCACGATGTGTGTCTCCTCCTCGTCCAGTCTCCCCGCCAACAGTAGCGGCGCCGTGAACAAACGGCTCCTCGAAACCGACTTGGCTCTCATCGTAGCCATACGGCATAGCCTCAGGCTTCTCGTCGGCCATGTGGTGGTTCGGCATGGTTAACACGAGACAGAAGGAGGGCTTGGTCGGCGGTACCAATCTTGCTTTCGCCCTAGGGGATGCCTGGTGGTTATATAGATGGGATGCCAAAGGCGGCTGAAGAATGCGCCGGCCGTGATAGCAGATTTTGTAACAAATGTGGTGTATGGCCCGGCGCGAGAGGAAGATTATTCCACGTTCGCGGTTCGGACCTACCCAAACGTGGTACGGCTTCGGTGGCCAAGTCCTTATCGAACGTATGGGACGATCGTAGCCCAGACCCTTGTCAGAACGGGTTCTGGGGGACCAATTATCGTTGACTAGTGCAAACTACTGGTAGGGAAGGCGGGGGAAAATACCTCGAGCGCTGTGATGGTTGCAGCCCGTTGCTTAACTCGTATGATGACGTTCCCTCTGCACGGCGCGCATTCCTTCGGGTTTACTTCCTTACGCCACGGGCACTGTTCATCTGTTGGGTTTTGGATATGCGCCCTACCTAGATATGCGCCCTACGTGCGGAGTGAGGTGATAAGAACTGAGCCGACGTAAACCGCGCGCATTGTGTGCATGAGGCTCAAACTGGGCGTGTCCAGAGCTCAGACAAGCTTCTGGAAATACGCCTAGAAGCCTTAGCGCTCGAGGTACCCGCCGCTGGTTTGCGAGCTGGGTCTGGGTAGAAATGGAGCTGATCATGGGGCGCATGGAGAATGCACTGACTGACAGTTCACTGCAAAACCTGGGGATGGCGGGGATGGCGGGGATGGCGGTTCGTGCTTCATCCGGCGGCGCGATTGTCTGGTTTCACCGGACAAGCCGCCGATGATACGAACCAAGACTGTATGCGCCGTATAGCAAAAGACACAGTAGCTCGACATGTTGGTACTCGCTTAGAAGATTCTGACTTTGACTGCAATGCTATTAGGCCTCCTTCGTTATCATAATCTGCTACTCTTATCTTCAGTATTCGTGCCGTTGAGGATTTCAAACTTAACACTTTCACCCAGGCAGGATCTCAAAAGCTTGGACGTCGCTTCAAAGATGTTCACTGCGGGTCTCTTGTGGGTACACCATCCGTAGGGCCATGCAACTATGGCGCGACCCACCGTCCTACCAGACATCAATCTAGCAGCTTTAGCATGCACTCGGATTTCTGAGTAAAGGAGCCCTCTTCGCATTTCAACCTAGTACTTACTTACTTGCCGACCTTCAAGAAGAAGCTGGCTGTCAGCTTCGGTAAACGTCAGTGCGGTAACACTGCGCAGGCGTTCACCCCAGTCGACGGGGCTGGTCCTGCAATCCTGCGCACACCAACATGTGGGTCTTTTGATACCATTCAGTATACCTGCATGCACTTTTGAGGGCAGGTAGCAACATGCGACGTGTACTTTTAGAGCACACTCATCTCTATCTTTGAGCACACATAACCCATAGCATCGCGCAGAGGCGAGTCCCATGCTTGGTCATGTAAGCTTATAACAGCCCAATATCCTCTACAGTCGATCATATCTCAAAACGTAAATTGAGTCGTTCTCGTTGGCCTGTCGAGTTGGTTTGGTCAAGCTTTGAGGGTGCTTGGAAGGAACAATAACCCCTCACCAAGCATTCTGCACCTGCCCGCGGCAGGAAGCGAAGGCGCGGAGATGACACCATATGCTCGCGTCGCGAACGTCATACCGCAGACGTGTATACACGCGCTTCGAAGCTGCAATCCCCGTCGACCCTAGGAACCAACATAAAGCATCAATCGAGAAGTTCGCGATATGATTCCGCAGGTTGTGATCGACAAAGTTCTCTCCAAAGCGCAGGAAACTGCGTCACATAGCTGGGAATACGGCACCGTATTTGAAGCGCTACTTGAGTACAGAGATCCTCATTACAGCATATTTCATGACCCGTTCCCAGAGGGCAAAATACCAGAGTTGACGGTAGAGGATGTAGAAGCGTTACGATATGTGAAACCATTCATACAGACGAATAGCGCAAGACTGTGCGAAGGTAACGGTAAGCTCTCTTCTCTCAGGTTTCGTCCAACGCATGCTAAAGGCAGTGACTAGGTTCGTCGTCCGATCCGACATCTCTCTGCATTCCGGCCTTGTTGCTCTACAGATCAACAACCTCCCAAGCGCCTGACAATCCTTACCTCTCCGCTGTAAATCGCCAGCTGCACGACCTGCTTTCCACCACGCCCAGATACAGCAATGGCGCGATATCGCATCGCGATGCGTACCCTTCTTTGTGGGCAGACTTCATCTACATGGTGCCGCCTGCTCTTGCATACCACGGTGTCTTCACCTCAGATATAGGCATGTTGAAAGAGAGTGTACGGCAGTGCCAGCTATACTGCGAGGTGCTGGGCACGTCGAAAGGGTATTGGCAACACATCGCCAATGCCGAGGGCACGGACAGCGTGAAGAGCGATGACGGCGCGTGGTGTACGAGTAATGCCTGGGCTGCAGCTGGGATGACTAGGGTCCTAGCAACACTGCGCAGATCTCAATATGAATCGGAAACCGCTGATGAGCAGAAGACGCTACTAGATATGACGAAAGGCATTCTTGACGGCGCGATAGAGACTGATACTGATGCATCCGGCCTGTTGCGCAACTATCTCGATGACGAGACATGGTTTACAGAGGTTGCTGGGACAGCGTTGATGGCAGCTACGGTCTTCAGAATGGCGGTCCTCGAGCCTGGCAAATTTGGGGAACGGTATGTAGGATGGGCGACGCGCAAGTTGGAGGCTGTCAGTCGCCATCTAGATGAGGAAACTGGAGTTGCGGCACCTGTGATCAACTCACTGAAGGAGGGTCAGCGGACGCCGCTCAACGGTATCAATCCGGAGGGACAGGCTTTTGTCGTATTGCTATACGCTGCATGGAGAGATTGGAGGACTGTTGCAGATAATGCATCAATAGCGACGACCGGATCTCACGCGTCGAGGACGTGAGCAGCGCGTGCCGCAGTGGTTCGCGTCGTTTGTACCTCGGCAAATCCGACTCCTCACAGCAACCATGACTCTCCGGCATGCAATGGAAGCCATGCTTTCAATCACTTCCAATCACGGGGTACTTGACATACATAAAACTGCATCTCGCGACCGAGAGTTCAAACTGCGTCCGACTTGCGCTTAATTTCTTAACCCAACAGGATGTCCGCCAATACCCCCGTGATCATCGGCGTAGGCGACATCAAGAACCGCTCCACCGCCATCGCGGATGCGAAGGAGCCCGCAACATTAATGCTAGAAGCCATCCAGAAAGCCATCAGCGACACTGCATCTCTCTCGAAGACTGAATTGCAGTCAGCAATCGACAGCATCGATGTTGTCAAGACGTGGACTTGGCCGTATCCAGATCTACCCGGGCTTTTGGCAGAGAAGCTGGGCGTTGATCAGAGTCTGAAATGGAAGAGATATTCCGAACACGGAGGCGATAAACCAGGAAAGCTTTTCGATGAGGCCGCCAAGAGGATTGCAAAAGGCGAATGCAAAGTCGCGGTTGTAACTGGAGGTGAAGCATTAGCTTCGTGTACGTACCGCATGCCTTTCCGAGGTCTCCGCTCATCACTGACTGTACCAGTATCCGCGTGTGCAACTGCAAAGAAGCTTCCTCCACCAGGCTGGACAGCTCCGTCCGAAGCTGTAGATTCGGTCTTCACACCAACAGGTCGCGACCTAGGAAATAGTGCGGTTTCTTCTATCTGGCAAACCCTTTCTTCTACTGACTCTGGCAAAGACCTCGGAGCTATTCACAAGATTGGTGCGCCGATACATGTCTACCCACTTTACGAGAACGCGTTCCGTGCGCATCGCGGGCAGACGCTGAAGGCAAACCACGAAGAGAGTGCAAAGCTGTATGCTGAATTTGCAGACGTCGCAAAGAATAATGAGTACGCATGGAGTCAAGGAATTTCAAGTAGTGAGGAAGACATCAAGACTATTGGGAAGAAGAACAGGATGATATGCTACCCTTGTGGGTCTCACCACTTTCCGCATTAGGAACGGACGCTTACATCACACGCGCAGATCCCCTGCTTATGAACGCCTTCAACACGGTTAATCTTGCCTCTGCAGTCATCCTTACATCGACTTCCTTCGCCAAAAGTTTAGGTGTTCCCGAGTCGAAATGGGTTTATCCGCTTGGCGGCGCGGGAACGAAGGACGCGGATGAGTTCTGGAAACGACCAAACTTCTATTCCTCGCCGAGTATATCGCGCTCTCTTGATGCGAGTTTGAAAGTTTCTGGTACGACCAAGGAAGAGATGGACATCATTGACATCTACTCCTGCTTTCCCATTGTGCCTAAGATTGCGGCGCAGCATCTAGGAATACCTGTGGTTGGTCGTCAAAAGCCACCGACGATACTTGGTGGCCTGACATCGTTCGGCGGAGCTGGCAATAACTACTCAATGCATGCGCTCACCGAGATGACTCGGCAGATAAGAGACGGTAAAGGGAAAAAGGGACTCGTGCTCTGCAATGGCGGCGTTCTGAGCTATCAGTACGTCGTCATATTGTCGAAAGAGCCCAGAAGAGAAGGAACCTATCCGATAGAGAACCCTCTACCGCCGCAGATTACTGATGTGCCCGCACCTGAGCTCGTCTTCGACCCAGAGGGCGAGGCTGTTGTCGAAACTTACACCGTAGAGTTCAACCGAGACGGCAGCCCGCTTCGAGGTCACATTATTGGTCGCTTAAAGAGCAGCAGCAAACGTTTCCTCTCGAATCATGGAGATGAAAGCACGTTGCGACAGATGGCCAGTGGTGCGGTCGAGATCGTGGGCAAAAGCGGATGGGTTTGGCAAGATGGTGAAAAGAAGGGGAGGTCGCTGTTTGCATTCGATAAGCCAGCAAGACTGTAGCGACTTATCAAGTGGGTGAAGAGAGCGATGAGCTAGAATATCTGCTATGAAGCGCTGACAGGTCGAGTGAATGGGAGTGTCATTTCTCTGCGAGTACATGTGGCGAATCTACCCAGGTGGGCCACGGAGTGCTGCGGTTTGGGCTTTGCACAGTCTGCTAGCCTACTTTTCTACCCGGGTGCAGTCTCCCATCAGCAATACACGCAGTTGAACATAACTCTATCTTCTTGGTCCCTCCACTCGCTCTGCATTCATCTTCAAGATACTGCGGCGCCATCAGGCAATATCTTCCAGTCATGTCTTCCTCATGCGCAACACTAGACGGCATCACGACTTCCCTATCTATGATAGAACTAAACCCTACTGTCTCATCCCCTCCGACTCAGCCCGCCCAATCTTCTTTCGAGAAGCTTCCCCTAGAAGTCCGACAGCAGATCTACCGATACCTCTTCAACAAATGTGACCCTGATTCACTCTCGGTCGGTGTCCGTCTCTGCTACCGCCGCACCTTTCAAGCCCTCCAATCATCCGCGTCATTCATCCTCTGGAGTCTCATGCTGACAAGCCGCCAAATCTCCCAAGAGGTGCGCACTTACTTCTTCGGCTTCTACTGCTTCAATCTCATACCCGCACACGGGAAATACGACTATCAGAGTCTCCTCACGACGTTTTGGCTGAAGATTGGGGCACATAACCCTAGTCTTATACGGAAGCTTTCGCTGCCTTTGTACTCCATCCGTTTGTTTGACGAAAGAAACGGTCTGGTGGAGCAGTCTAGATTATGGTTTGCGTCGAATCTTCTGGCGAAATTCCCGGCGCTTACCAATCTCGATCTGGGCTTGCTTGTGCTAGAGTGTCTACCGCGCGATCATCTGATCTTTTCAAAAACGCTACCAACGACCGAGGAGATGAAAGCCATGAAAGAGTGGGAATGGAGTGGTATCGAAACGAATATACCTTTGCGAGAGTGCTTTGAGGAAATGGGCAGCGCTATACAGGGGAAGAACGTAGAGGTTGGGATATACTGGTGAGTGGACTATGATTTACGGAAGGAGTCCAGTAACGTGTTCTTACTGACGTGCAATGTAGGTCAGACTTGCTTCACCTGGAATTACTGCGGGAGCATAAGTGGCAGACGTTTGATCGTCTTGAGGCAGTCTATAAAGAGAGGCTGATGGGGATACTGCAGAAGTGGCTTAAAGCGAAGTCAGTGCAGAGCAAAGGGCCACTTCGAGGCTTTCGAAGTGTTGAGGATCGATTTTCTCGTGGTTATGACATATTGGATAACTACCATTGAGCCATTGGGGTAGACGATAAGTTGACGGATTGTGTGGAAGATAGGAAGATCACACAAGGAAGCATTATGGGGAATAATTTTCTTGAAAACAGTTCAATGCCTTTCATACCGTATGTGCTATTGGTATAGTAATTGTTTGAAGACTTTTGCTGCTGCGCAGAAATAAATGAGAGCTGAACAAAGTCAAAGCAGATTTTCCATGGTAACCCAACCACTGGGCGTATCGACCGCTTTAGCTGAGAAGGTACTAAAGCCTTTGAGTCCGTCGCTGCTGGGGAGGAACTGGGTCGAATCCAGGCCCCACCGATAGGACATGCCGATATTCTTGGCCGAGCTTATCAAGCGCGCTATGGTGACGCGACATGTCTGGACATTCAGGTCAGCCGGTATAGCAAAAGAATGGTGCAACAGTCACTTACCGATGAGCTGACTAAGACCGCTCATACCACATGTAGGTGAGCCCAATTCTCCCATCTCGAACTGTTTCATTAGGCTCGAAACCTGCAATCTTAAGGGCTTCTTGGTTTGCTACATGCAGCCTTGATTTGATGTAAAAATACACCCCAACCCTCTTGATTCCCATCCAGTTAGCCAAGAGAAGTTTCAGAGCTTCGGGGTTGCTGCGTGATCCCCAAAGACCCCAGAACACGGTCTGTATGGCACTTGCGTGATACAGCTGCAATGAACGCATCCAGCTGTCCATGTTTGAAGCAGGGTTGAGATAGGTCACCATGAATATGTTTTTCTGGAAGAAAAGTACACTTGTGTCATTGCGGAATTGGCGGCAGGTTCGGGAGAGAGCTGTCTGCTCATGCCGATGAAGACCAATGCTATGTTTTCTGATGAGATAGTAAGATGGTTTTCCCAGAGATCTCTCATGGAGCAAGTAAGTCTGGCCTCCTATAACGTAGTCGTAGATATGGTTCCGAATCTCGGCTGGAAGGCGAAGGAGTGGTGAGTTGCTGTTATTTTGGGCGCTGGAGTCGATGTCATCAGCTACTTTCGAATGTTACAGGGCTTTGGAGATACTTACATGGCTGCCCGACGTAGTTTCTCACTTCCGGTGACGCGAGAAACACTAGGCTTTGCGACTTTGCTTGTCGTCTTGGACGCAGGAGTCTTTCGACTGCGTTTCTTGAGGTTAGGACGCGCCATGACGTGGTGTAGAGAGTTGTCGTCGTCAAAATTGACAGCAAGGCCGCTTTATAATCGGCTAGCGTGAGGACGAGCGATAGCGCCTGGTAAGTGGTGAGAGATGAGCAGCCATTACGAAGGTGAAGGTAAAGGTGAACTTCAAATGCCTGAGAGTACCTCGTAAGATTCTTAGCTGACAACATGGAGGTAGGCCGTGTCAAACACAGCCACAAATACAACATGAACGGCAGGCATGGTATGAGCCGGCCGCTTTCCTCTAAACCTAAGCATTCCCGGCAAAGTGATAGAGTCCCACTTGCGGACTCTCCCATGCAAAATCTTCGTATTTGCACAGGCACTCTGCTAGTCATGCTGCCATGCAAGCCTCCGCCTGTGGTATCACTTTCACTCTCACTATCCTGCCTCTTCCACTCCTATTACCCAGGATATCACGTCCACATATCCAAAATACAGCACATAAACTCTACACACCATACCCGCCCCTCCGTCCCATCATCCATCATTCCCCGCCCATCTCCCAAGCTTCGAACGACCAACCACCTAATAAACGCGTCTCGGAGCGTGCGAACGATGCGGCTGATCTCTCGAACTCCTGCGCGGATGCCCAGAGCGCGTAGATCGCTTGCTTGGACTTCGTCTCGGCCTGGACTTTGATCTCGACTTCGATGAGTGCGATTGTGAGCGTGAACGTGAGTGCGATGACGATTTGCCGCTAAAGCAGGCGAGCAACGCCACGAGGGCGCTTGTGATGCAAATGATTGCGGTTGGAGGGGTTGGTTGAGGGTTTCTAGGAAGGTACGTTCAGGCAAGGAACGCAAATGTGGAGATGGTGGTCGATGATGTTGGGTCCGTGGAGCCAAATTTATGGGTCGTTACTTCCTCTTATGCACCACATGGTGTGCAGTGCGGCACCTCGCCTTGGACGTCACTTCCTCCCCGCTAAGTACTGATGACATGGGCTGAGCCATACTATCCAAAAGTCGAGGCCTCTAGGTCTAAGTTACCAACTCGATTGTTCACATTCAGACCCGCAACATCCGGACCCTGCATGAGTCTTGTTGCTTGGCTGTGCGTGGCGTCCGGATGCTGGTATCAACATGATTGGTTGATAGGGGAGCGAAATCTGTGGCGCATGTCCAGCATGACGTTCGCTGCGTAGTTCGTGGATTGTTTCAATGTGTCGGTAATAGATCCATAGCTTTCCAAGCCTCATAAACTCTAAGATATCTACAGCCCACTAAGCACACTCTGCACCCCTACAGTCCCAACATCATCTCTCCTAGCAATGAAGCCCTTCAACTCCTGCGCATCCTGCCCACCCGCAGCTCTGAGCCTATCCCTCAGCGCCTCAGGTCCAATAATAAACAACGTACTGACATCCGTCAGCACATCCATAGCACCAGGTTCCAGCTCATCGCCCGTAGGCCATGCTCTCACGAGCTCAACATAGCGGTTCATGTCTTTAGATACACTAAGACCACCGACTTGTGAGATGGTGAACTTGAGGAGGTGGGATAGAACAAGGGATCGCAGACCGCGAGCGAGTTCGGCGAGGAAAAGGGAAAGATTGCGGCCGGAGAGGGCGGCGGAGGCTTGAGAGGCGACGCGGGTTAGGAACGCGGAGACGTCGCGACAAGCTTGTGTTTCGGTTGTGACCATCAGATCGTCTTCTTTGGGTCGGAAGTCGGTCTTCTTTTGTTGAGACAGACATCTGCTCACCCAGTTGAGAGATGCTGTGAGTGTGAGATTGAGGATGTTGGATAGTTTGGATTCAAGGGTCGACGTTGTGCTGTTCGCGGACTTCTCGATGTCGCGGCGAATGGTGAGGTTGGGTGTGCAGAGGGGGAGGACGATGGTTGTAGTGGTTTGTTGGAGAAGATGTAGGATTGTGGTGATGGCGTGTAGCGATGGGAAGTGGGCGAGATCAGGGGCTGTCTTGGAGTTTTCTTGAGAAACGGCATGGTCTTGTGCACTGTTTTAGTGTTAGTAAGGATGCGTAGTTCAAGCATGTATGACTTACGCGTCTAGTGCCGTCTCCAGATAGATCTCGCCCATCTGCCGTAGCAGTAGGTTCAGTAGTATCTGCACGTCCTTCGGCGTCTCATTACCAGGCGACAGCTCCAGTCCACGCCCAACACCTTCTGCCAGCCACTTGAGCATACGCTTAGCGACTGGTAGCGATAGTCTGCCATCTTCATCAGTCACCTCAATGTCTTTCTTCTCTTGTTGGTCTTCTTTCAAGCCAGCAATGCGAAGCAGCGTTGCTTTTTGACTGGCGGGCAACTCGGTGCTTTCAAGGCGTTCCATGTACTTGTCACGAGCGGATGCAGCCAACTCCTTACCTCGCTGGGCTAGCGATCCAAAGTACGAGGTTGGCATCTTGCTGCGTCGCGAGTGGTAGATAGTGAACTTGAGCAGTAGCGAAGAGTAAAGCTCCTCCAGGTTCTTCTTCTCACGCTCAATGTACTTCTCTCCAATGAAGTAAGAGGAGAAGAGCTCTTCCAGCTGCTGATCAAGGGTAGCTGCGACCGCCGAAGTAGCAGGCTCC